GTGTGTGTGTGTGTGCGCGCTCAGGCTGCCATTCTGCAATGCAGCTCTGCTGTGACTCAGGGTACCATCAGATACCACTCACAGAATGCGTCATGCAGGAAGCAAAAGGTGCTTGTTTTTAATAGAGTCGGTATGTGTGTGTGTCCGTGCATTTCAGTGCTCATGTTTAGGGAAAAACTAAACCTGTGTGTTTGGATGTGGGTGGATATGTTTGGGCAAAGCTTTTGTGTTAAACAGAAGGGCATTTGTATGGGCCTGTGTGTGTGTGTGTGTGTGTGTTTGTGTGTATTGAATAGATTTTTCTGTTTAGGCTTGGCTGCAGATGCCTGAGGAACCACCACCATGTTTACAGTTCATACTCTATAAATGGTGTGAGTGCATGTGCTCGCCTGTCTGAGGCCGACAGGAAGGTGAAATATGCGTGTGTGTGTGTATACGTGTTGAGTGAAGCTGAGTGCCTACCTCTCCAGTCTAAGTATTGCCTGATAACCCCGAGTGACCTGGGTAATGAGAAGTGGAACGGTGGCTTCCCAGCAGGCCTCTGGGCCCGCCTCAGCTAAAGCTCCTCCGCCGCTCAGTCTGCTTTTTCAAGTTCCCCTCTGGTGTGCGCCGCCAGCCAAACATGCCAACAGATAAAGCTTACATCTCAATTTACAGCAGGTGTAGGGATGTTAGCTCGCTAGTGCTAAGTAGAGGTAGCCTGCACGGAGGAAGGAAATGTGGTCAGAAAGATGAAAGTACAACATAGACTGTCTCCTCCTATTGTTCCAATAATTTGTCCCGCATAAGCATAATATTGTTCTGTATCACATCATCTTGCTTTTAGAAAACAAGTAGTTTCTTCCAGCAGCACTAAAATTCAAACTGGCTAATATTTACAAAAATGTTCTGCATGTAAGCCTTGTTTCATTATAAATGTCTGTTTTTAGCCACGCTAACAACGTGGCTACATGATTATTTTGGTCTGTCGGCCCATCATTCAGTAGGCGTTCTTTGGTTTGTGACCATAATACCTTCAAAGCTAATACCGTCTGCTGCTTCAGCCATAAGCTACTTTGTTTTTTACAGCTAATTAGTTAATGTTAGCATGCTAATATGCTAAACTAAGATGATGAACATGGCAACAAGCATGGCTAACATTAGTATACCTTCTAAACATCTGTGTGTTGCATTGTCAATGTTAGCGTGTTGGCATCCTGGTGTTAGCATTCAGGTCAAAGCGGCACTGTGCCTACAGCCTCACAGAGCCATTAGCATGGTTGTAAACTCGTAGTCTTGAGTGTTATATAGGACAGTAGTTGTAAAACTGTGCCGCAAGCTCCCTTAGGGAGTTGTTTTGCCGTTGCAGCATGACCAGAAGGAAAAATGTGGAGCCAAAAGTTGAATAAATAAAAAAAACGAAACAAGGATGGTGTGAAACTAACAAGGCTATGAAGTTTCAGTTAGCAAGACTTATTCGGACAGCAAAAAGAAATCTTACTATCCTGTTCACTGACATTGTAGAAGAGCTTTGTCTTTTATGTCTAAAAACTTTGAATAAAGTTTGACTTGCATTAAATGGGAATTGTAGTGATTTTACACATAGGGATCAATTTACTTCTCATGGTTAGTGATACAGTCTAGGAAAACAGTTTTATGTCTTTTGTGGCTCTGGAGGGAGGTTTCTGAAGTAAAATAACCCTGATGATGTCATAGTGATGTCATTAGGGTTATCTCAGCTTGGCGTGGAGACCGCAGTAATTTAATGGAAAGCCAGTGTGAAAACATGTATGAAAACAAAGATGTTTTTTTCTAAATGAAGTCATTACAATAAGAATCAACTTGGCCCCTTCAGTTACTGACTAATATTTTAAATAATGAATTGGCATGACATTTTGTCAGCTTCCAAGGGGAGGCCTGACAAAAAGTAGCAATTTGTTTATTGGTCAAATTAAAGTGTAATTTGTTGCTAATGAGACATTATTAGGATTTATTTAGTATTTTTACCAGTACGGTTCTACAACATAATCCTCGTTCTGTTCCCGCTTTGTGATCCTGTATTGTTTATTTTTTAATGGTCAAACAGTTGTCTGACAGCAGAACAGAGAGAATAATTAAGCAGGTTTGAGTGCTGTGACTCCCGAGTGTGCATGTGGATTAGTTGGAAACAGAAGCAGCGTCTGAGTCAGAGGTAACAGAAAATTGGCTTCTTAACATTACAGGCATTTGCTTCCTCCTACTTCCACATCAAAGTGTCACTTAAAATTCTGGAAGAATGCTAACAGTCGAGAAAATCCAGCAAATCTCCTCCTCCTTTTTATCTTTTACTACTATAAACACTTTCCCTCTTTCTGTCAGTAGTGACATTTGTTTTAACCTGAGATAAAGTCACGATGGGTGTGCGTGTGCATAGGCTACTTTCTGTTTTCCCACTGTTAGCTGAGCATGCTAGCATGCAGCGTTCAAGTCTCGTAGGCCTCAGGAGCTATATAAGTTGATAACTCATAGTATTTGGCCTTATCAGCCAGAGATAGTCCTATGCTGTGAGGGGAAAGACAGAGTCTGAGTCATTTGTTGACTTTATGCCCCTCTGACTGCTGTTTCATGTGCTCTGCTCTGGAAAGACCTCTGAAAGCTGTGCAGCCACAGTGAGCCCACCAGCCTTCCATGCTGCAAAAACACTTTTCATCTTGGCTCCTAGCTGGGTTTGGACCATATTGGGTTTTCGCTGATACACAGAATATCAATTTTCATGTGAAGTATTTCCTCAAAACCTGCTCAGTGTTTACCCCAGGAACACCTTTTGACAACATTTCATCATACATGAAAGCTGTTCACTGAATGCCATGATAAAATGATGCTGATGATAAACCATACACGAGCATATTTTTTGTTGATTATTGTCAGACTGTTGCATTAGAATCACTGCTGGCTGCAGATTTTCCATAGATGACAGGTGTCAAACCATCGGCTGGGCTATAAACAAACAAACTACATTCACATCAGAAGATGATGACTGGCTGACATCAAAACAGCTAATTAGCAAAATAATTAACTGTACATACCTGAGATTTGGCAATGGCAGCTTTTTTTTTGCCGATCTGCGGCGATAGTTGTCTGACTATTCCTCTCCTCTGTAGACATGCCTCAGTTCTCACTTCCAAGTGTAAAGTATGGGGGGAAAAAAGAAAAAAGAAAACAAGTTCTGCAGGAAAATTTGCATTGCAAAGAAAAAAAAAAGTCTTTTGGGTGTTGTTTTTTCTGTTTTGTTAACAGTATTTCACTTCTATTTTCCATGCACATTCACGTGTGCATACATTGTCCTTCTGTTTACTTTTTAATGTCTTTCCAATATTTTTTGTTTTGAATTTGGTGTAGCCCCGAGCAAACTCCAGGCTTTTATTTTAAAGGCGATATTGCCCCTACTCCTACACTTGTAAGCACCTGAAGTTTGCTTTTGCATACATTTGACTACTTAAGTATATGTTTGGTTTTAAAACTGTACAAGATTTTGATCACTAAAAAATAGCTCTGAACTGAAGGTCATTTCTGTGGGGGTGGTTCACAGGGAAAAAAAGCATAAATGAATACTTTTCTTACAACTGAATCCTTCTTAGCTTTAGGTGAGTGGTTATTTTCCCTGTGTGGATCATCAACTGGTGGTTATATCCCCCTACTTTCATCCTCCACCACCTCATGGGGTCAATGGGGGATTGCGTGAGCTTGTGTGACAAAAAATTATTTCTGCAGTTGAGTGCACAGCAGTTCCTCTGTAAAGGCACCTGTTCCCTGTGAAAAGAGATACAATTAAAAAAAGAAGTAGGAGAAATAAGTGAGGTAAAGGACCCATCTGTTGCTCATTCAGCATCAAGACAGGTGGCTCTGAACTGGTTTAAATCGCTGTTGAAGGAAGCAAAAGACTTTAATTAATTAATCTCTGCCTTTCTCTCTCCACTGACTCCTTTCCTTTTGTTTCTTCTTTCCTCGCTCCAGGTTCAGGGACGATAAGGGCTACGTTCTGTACCCTCAGATCGGGGACCGGCTGGACCTCATCTGCCCACCTCTGGACACCGCCAGGTCCACCCCAGAATACGAGTTCTACAAGCTCTACCTGGTGTCGTCACGGGAACAGGCGGACCGCTGCGAGGTGACCGGCCCGCCCAACATTGTGCTGACCTGCGACGAGCCCACCCGCGAACGTCGCTTCACCATCAAGTTCCAGGAGTTCTCGCCCAACCTCTGGGGCCACGAGTTCAAGAGCCTGCATGACTACTACATCATCGGTGAGTCGAGGAGGCAGAGCCTGGAGATTAGGGGATGGAGTGTGTGTGTGTGTTTATGGGCGTGTGTTGAGCTTTATTGCAGTGTGTGGGGGGAGATGGGGGGGTTGTTATGATTGCTTGGCTGATTTCTGATTGTGCCTGAGTGTGTTTGTTTATTTCAGTGATGATGGTGATGATTGGGCGGGTGTGTTTAGAGTAATTAGGTTTGAGAATTGTGTGTGATCCGGTCCGCGGGTGGATACAGTAGAAAGACGTACACTGCAAAAAGTGACCAGGCGGGCCTGTAGTTTTTGATGTGTTTTTTCCACTAATCAAACCTTGCTGTAACTTATTAAGGCTATTTGACTAACTTTAATTAATTTCTCTTGCTTCTACTGTTGTAGGATTTAACACACTTCAGGTATCTTTGTAAGGCAAAAGGAAAAATGACTTTCCATTCCTTAAATTTTTTCCAGTGTGTCCCTGGATTTGTCCTTGTTTTCCACTTGTGTGGGATTTTGTGTTTAGTGAAGGATGGTCACATTCATGCTTCAGCGTCATTTCTAAGAGTGTGTGTGTGTGTGTGTGTCATTGCTATGTCTTTGTCCTGCTCGGCTGCTGTGCTGGCCTCGGGCCTGTTTATTGTTACTGCCAGCCTTGCAGTGACCGCAAATGGCGAAGCACAGTGTGTTTTGGTTTATTTAGAAGGTTTGTTTGGAGTTGGGCTGCGTGAAGACCTGATGAGGTCATCAAGGCAAGCCAGGCCAAGCGTTTGTATCGGACGGAACAATCTGCAAGTAAAGGTCGCGTCAACCGAAACCTGTGGGTTGTTTTTAAATACAGAGCAAGAGCCAAGAGCATTGAGTGCTCACAAATGGAGCGACACACACACACACTGGATGTGCATGTAATCACACACAGGTTTCCAATACAAACAGAAGCACAGTAAAAAAAAACACCTCAGGAGTGAGAGAGTGAGCAGGATAGACAAAGAGAAAGAGAGAGACCCTGTTCGATTCCCAGAGCTTTCCTCCCACGCACCTGCAAGCTCTATTCACTCAGGTGTGCAAATGCTCTTTTCACTTCTTTTCATCTGCGGGTAGAAAAAAAACAACCTAAAAAAGATAGAACGAGTAGAGTCAGGAAGAAGAGTAAGCTGGGACAAAAATGGAGAGACAGAAAAAAACAAAGAGAATATAAGATCTCTCAAAGTCTGTGAAGTCCCTCATGTCTCTTTGTGTTCTGTATTTGTTCGCCGGGTTTCAGGTGCGCTCGGTTTTTCGCTATCAGTCCTCGTAAGTTTGGGCACTGGGCATGTTTCTCCTGCACCCTGCATCATTATCAACGTGCAAGTATTTCTCTCAGATTAGATATGAGGGGGGGAGACAGCATGCAGTGGTGCAGTAAGCCAATATGTATGTACAGTATGTGCTTGTATCTATGCGCCCAGGGCAGGGACCCAATGATACAGGAATTTTTGACCTGATAAGGGTGAAAATTAATGCAATCTGATACCTACTGATACCTGATTCAGTGAGTGACAGATGTTGAATAGCAGAACCCGAATAGCCACATTAAACTGACACTTACACATTAAATTAAATTATCTCATGATTAAAAATCCATTTATGTGCAAGTGCATATGTTAGAAGATTGTGTTTTTTAGATCTTTATATGATGTAGAGATATGTCTTATTAACCTGCATCCCTACAGTACATTTCATTACATTGGTGTAGTATTATATACTGTATCTTTCCAGTCCACTATGATAGTACAAGGTGGAAAAAGTTATAAATATTTGAGGTTTCCAGATTTTGGTGTTGTCCATATTTAGAATTCATACAATCCAAAGTTCTGGCTAGCAAAAACAAACTACAGTGTTTGCCTAGAAGTACAGAAATCAAGTACTTGTCATCCATAATTTAGAAATACAGTATAACACAACAGGTTTGAAGCTAGGTATATCATTCAGACTCTGTGCTAGTAACAAATCCGGCACCTTCCTCAAAATCTGTTGGGAAATGTCTTTTGACTGTTTGAGTGTCAAGCCAACAGGTAATCGACAACATACTGGTCACGCACAATCACTACAAGATCTCAACTGTCCTAGTTTGTTTCCTTCTTTGGCATTCAGGAAGACATTCGAAGTGACCTGGGTTCAGATTTCTCATCTTACATGATTACACTGATACTGATTATGTGTCACCGGCACCCAGTTGACTGCTTACCGTGCACAAAGCCAGCGCGCACTACAGAATATCCATAGATAATATTTATGACTTAAACTTTAATTTTTGTTACACTGTAGCAAAGGAAAAATAGTCCTTAGCAGCTAAGAGGCTGAAGAGGCTGAATAAATGTAAGAAAAGGGCCAAATGTGGCCTTCTGTCTCTGTTTTGCCCACCTCTCCTCTGTACTCCCGCTCGAGTGTCCAGAGATAGAAACACCTTTATCTCCACACACAGACCAGACTGATCGATTGACAGCTCCAGCCCAATCAATGACGGCTGCAACACAAGGTCACACAGACACACACACACAC